TGGGGGGGTCTCTGCTGCCTGGTCAGGTGGGCTGACTGTCACAGACACCCGAAGCCACTGTGGAGAGTCGTGCAGGCCTGCAGGTGCTGCCAGGCCTGTTTTGGACTGTTTCCTGCACAAACCACAGGCATCACTCCGAGACTGTCTGCTCTGTGATGCATCCCTGGGCCCGACGCTCAAGTTTGGGGGGCGTGGTGCTGCCTGACCCTCTTGGTAGCCACTGTCAGGGGGTGTGAGTGGTGACAGCCCCCCAACACCCACCTGCTGCTCGGGGAACCCGCAGCAGCTGAGCTGCCTGGGAGGCTCACATCAGCCCAGCCCAGGTGCCATGTGTCCTGCTGGTTTTACAGCTTATCGGTCGGAGGGCTGGGAGCAGGCAACATGACCGTGGCTCTAACTGTTTGCAAACACGGATCATTCACCGAGCTCTTGGTTCTCAGCAGAGCCCGAGCACACCCTCTGTGATAAGCCAGAGGTAAATGTTAGGCGCTGGGCAGGCAGGTGGGGTGGAAGATCCTGGCGTGCGTGGTGGGCCCACCCTCGTGGGTCTGAGGGGCATGTGCTTCGCTCAGCTCAGGAGCATTTGACGGAGTTGTCAGCGAGGGAGGGAGGGACGCTGGACTCTGAGGCTCCTGAGCATCCCCCGGAGGGTGGCTCTAAATGCTGAAAGCTCTCCCTAGTAAAATATTTATGCAAATAAGTGAGTGTTTTTCCCTGCAGGCAGCTGTGGTGTTTCGTGCTGTTAATCTCCTTTGGAAATGCAGGAACATGTTTTGATCTAGATCACAGCCGGGAGCTGTGTTTATAGACTCCGAGGGCCACGCCACCAGAGCCGAGCAGTGATTCAAGGTCTCTGGGTGTCACGAGGGCCTTGCAGAGACGTTTCCCTTCTCCTCTGTGAACACCAATCTGGGTCTTCAGAAACGGCTTCCCACCTCTCTTACGGCATCTGCAGTTTGCTGTGATAGCATCCAGGCGACAGGTGACCCCACAACATTTGTGATGATGACAGACGGCTGCCATTATAACAAGAGGCGCAGATGGGACATTCTCTGCATCACGGGGACACGGTGCTATTTTACTTAGCGCCTGTCTGCTGCGCCTGGAAGGCTCGGTCCTTCCACGCTGCCCTCCTTCCCTGAGGTTTCATGATTTTCAATCACCTCCCAGGGACTACAGATCAAAACAAACTTCTCAGCGCACCTGAGGGGCTCCCTATGAGCTGGCCCCGGGCCGCCTGTGTAGGCTCTGCTCCTGTCTCCTCGGCACGAACCCTGTCCCAGTAGCCAGCGAGGTGGGGATGGTCCCTGCAACCCCAGTGGTGATGAACGGGTGGACGCCAGTGCTGGCCAAGCCCCGCCTGACCCAGCAGTCACTCTGGTCCCAGAGAAACGAGGAGAGACTAAGTAGCCACAACATTTGGGTAAATGGTGACTGAGCACTTTCCATGTGGCAGGTGCTGCCCCAGGTTCCGCACACACAGCTCATCCAGCCCCAGGAGGGACATGCCACTGCTGTTCCTCTTGGAGGGAGGGGGAAACCGAGGCACAGGAAAGCGAAGTCACCAGCACAAATTCCTGCACTGAGGCCGGGCCCTGGGCAGCGTGGCTGCTGTGTCCACAGCCTCACCCCTCTGCCACTGGCCCATCCGGGACGCAGGCACGAGGCAGATGAAAGCAGCTGTGGGTCTGTCTGCCCTCCCCCAGGACAAGGCTGCTCTGGCCCAGGGCCCACCCATCTTCCCTTCTCCTGAGGGTCCAGCCCAGACGGCCTTCCTTCCACCAGCCTTCCCCCCACCGAGAGGCCCCGCCCAGGGGCTGCGGCTGGGGGCGCTGTGATCTCCCTGTCACCTGTCGCCTGCAGTGTGGCGGTTCTCCCTGCGGCCCGTGAGTGTCTCGGGGACGGCGCATCACTTCACCCCTTACTCCCCACCCCATGCCCAACATCCGGCGTGTAGCAGGCCCCTAATGTGTCACGGTCAAAGGGGGACCGGATGAAGGAACTGGTGCTGTTTTAAAACAGAAGTTTCTGCCTTCAGGGAAGTAGCAGAAATTAAGGCTTTTTGTCACTGTTATCAGAGCTACTCCTCGGAATGAAATATTAACAGTAAACAGTCTCCCTGGGACCCGCGCACGCGGTTCCCTCTCTCCTCCCCGGGACACGGCTCCCTCTTTACTTCTTCAAGGATGGGGTGCAGCCCTGCAGCAGAAGGAAGGTCTCCAGGGACTTGGGGGTGATACCCAGGTGGGTCCTGTGGGGAACTGGCCGCTGCTTTCCAAGCACCCATCAGCGTGGAGGGAGTTCAGGCACAGGTGGCACTGCTGTGACCCCCCCGCACGTGAAAAAATTCTGAGAGAACAAACTGAGTTTCACCTTGCCAAGGACCTTAGCTCACGGACAGCGGGGGCCCAACCCCTCTCAGTGCAGAAGATGCTGGGCTGCTGCAGTTTTTTCACCTGATGGAACGAGATGAAATGCTTCTAACTGCTACTTGCTCTGAGCTGTGCCCCGGCCACCGCCGCCTCCTTACCCAGAATGATGCCGTTGGGCTCCTCTGGCGGCTGCCACACGATCCGCACGGACGTGAGCCTCACCTCCGGGAACACCAGCCTCACCGGGGGGCCTGGGGCTGAAGGAGAAAGAAGCCACGTGAGCCCTTGTGATGGTACCTGGTCCCACGACAAGATCGCGAACGATGCTGCGAACTGACCGCAGTCGCTGCCACGGCGACACTGTTCATGCGGAAACACCCCACGTTTGGGGGGATGACGCTGGAACCTAACGGCTCTGGGTGGCTCCCTAAGATTCTGAGTAAAAACCTCGTTTCCATCCAGCCCGCCGGCTTCGCTCGAACCTGCTGGAAGTCCCGTGAGCAGGAGCTGCACAAAGCTGGCAGGCCGGTCACTAAGTGGCCCATGGCATGGACATCAAGGGGAGAGTCGGGGTCAGGGGGTCAGGGTGTTGGGGGTCAAGTACATGGAGGGGGAGACACGAGACTTCGGGTGGGGAGCTCACAATGGCGCGCAGAGGCTGAATTACAATCTTGTCCGCCTGAAAATCACGTAAGATCGTTAACCAGTGCTGCCCCATAATTTAATAAACACATTTCAGGTGGGGGCAGCGGGCGCAGACGGTCGGCACTAAATACAGTGATGTGTGGCCCAGTCGTCCCGGGGCCGCTGGACTGTGCCTCCAGCTGCTGAGCTGAGTGTTTTATATTTTAAATGTGTGTGATGACCCTTGGGTTTGGGTAAAACAAATGTGAGGAGATCACTCGGCTCCACGGAAGGAAACGGTGTTTGTGTCAGGGCCGCGGGGGACACTCACGCTGGGACTTTAGGAGGAAATGACTGCGACCGACCGAGTTCCAAGGAGCAGTTTCTAAGACGCCCCTTTACTTCCCATCTGTGTGACCCGGGACACGGGCTTCATACAGTTTTACAAAGAAACAACCTTCCCCGTCTGTCGGTAGCTGCCCGGACACGGACAGATGGCAGCCCCTCCTCTGCCGGGTGTGTCCCCAGTGCCACCTCGGTGTGAAGCGCAGGGGACAGTGACAGCTCCTCGGACAGGATGTTTGGGGACTAACTTAGTGATTCTGGTGATGATGTCAGAAAATCTACCATTGTCTCTCCTCCGCGAGACCCTGCGGACCCCGGAGGGTTTGGGGGGATCAGTATCCCCCCGACAGCCGCTGCAGTGTGTGTGGTGATGGGAGGGAGGAGCCAGCCTCTAAGGGTCTGACACCTGGGGCGTGGGCGGACCTATTCGCTGACAGACTCCCACGCACGGGCCTCCCGCGGTTCCTGTCCTCAGGTCTGGAGAAGGGAGCGGGGTGCCTGGGCCCCCTTAGGCACAACTCTGCCTGGGAACTTCTGATGACCTCAGGTTCTGCAAAGGATGGTCACGTGGCACCAGGACCCTGGGCACGAGGTCAGCAGTGGGTTTTAACCGGATCTGTGCAGTCACTACCCAGGAGCGGCCTCCCTGGGTTCACCCCGCCCCTGGCCTTTACTGCCTGCCTGCTGCAGTTACCACGGAAACTCTGCTCAGGCTCATAACTGGGCCATAAAATTCTCCCCTGGCTGAAACTGGCCACACAGACACCCAGCGACTGAAAGACAATTGTGTTTTGTTTTCCTCGACTGAAAAAAATGTGGTTGGAAATGAAGTTTAAAACAACAGCCTTTCCCGCGTCAGCCGGCGGCGGCCAGCCAGGGGGGCGAGTGCAGACACATACCATCGTCCTTGGTCCGCTCCAGGATGAGGGGTGTGCTGGGGACCCCGTTCCCGATGCGCGTGAACGCCAGCACCTGCAGCTCGTACAGCACGAACTTGCGCAGGCCCGCCAGGAGCGCCGACTGCGTGTGGTTCCCCCGCACGACGTGGCTGCTGGGCTCGGGGTCCAGGTCCTTCGCCCGGAACAGGATCTGAACCATCGACACACAAGCGGGTGGGCGTGAAGACGAGGGGGCCGGGAAGGGGCCTTGGCAGGCGTGGGGCGACCTCAAGGCAGGGCCAGCCCACTGTACTTTCTCCCCCAGGGCAGCCGGGTTGAAGGCGTATGGATCTAACTGCTACTTGCTGGAGTTTGAGGCGATGATGGTGATGAAGGGCTTGTACCCGGGGAAAAGGGCCGTTGGAGCGGGGACCGGCCCTTGGCTGCTGGCCGGCTGCCTCGCCATAACTTACAAGACCTGCCAAAGGCAGCCACGCCAACCACGGCCACCGAAACCAGGGCTCCCTGATGGACGCGGAGACAACCTCCTACCCACAGTGCCTCCGTTTGTGGGGAAACTGGGCTCCTGTGTCAGAGGAGTGGGCACTCTCCCCCTGACCTGGGCTCACACCAGTGACCAGAGGCTGTAACGGCAGGTTCACCAGGGAGGGGTGCGCAGAGGGCCTGGCAGGAGCCTTTCCTCCAGGGCCCAGGTGGGTGGTGTGGAGTTTCCATCACCGAGCCCACTCACTGTGATCACCGTGTCTCACGGGGCCAGGGGAGAGCAGCTGCAGCCCCAGGGAGGGAGACGGGACAGGTGGGGAGTCAGAGAACAGGGTCTGATCATGGCTGCAGAGCCGACACACTGGACTCTGGGCCGCGGTGCAGGACAAGCAGGGCCTTGTTGCCTGAATCCAGAGACTTCACTGCTGCTTAGGTGGTGGGGGAGGGAGGCGATGGGACAGACACAGGAGAAGTCCGAGGGCCTGGTGGATGCGTTCAGCACTGAACCCAGAGTGGCTCGGAGAAGCTGGGAGGTGTCAGGATGGGCTGGACGGGGTGACAGGTGCCCACACACTTGCATTTATCTAATCCCACTCGGTTGGCACTTACGAGTGAGGTGCACACTATAAAACGACCCGTTTTTCCTCGTACTGGCCCTGCGGTTACCACCCCTGCGCACATGCGGGGAAAAGAAGCTTGGGTTTCAGTAGCCTCCACAGTCCGTGCCCGGTCTGGCTGACGCTGAGGGGCGACACCAACGCTGAGTCAGACTGCGGCGGTCTTACACAGACAACCCCTGGGAAAACCAGCGAGCTGGCCAGAGCTGCGGGGCCGGGGGACACAGGAACCCGCTGGTGTGGGCGGTGACGTGTGTTAGTGCCTGTGTGTGGTAAGTAAAGGGGGGGTCACCTTAACACGTACCTTGTAGCCCAAGATGAGCCCGTTCTGGTCCTGCTCAGGCACCGAGGCCCATGTCAGCAGGATCTGGGTCGAGCTGACCGCCACGGCAGACACGTTTTCGGGGGCGGCCGAAGGGACTGCAAAGAAGAGTTAAATAGATTGGCAACCGGAGTCTAAAGGCTTCTGCAAATAAAGGCCCCGTTTTACCCAAACAACCCGACTGTCCTTAGACAGCAGTGCATTCTGAGCAGCGTGCGGTGACCAGCGAAGCTTCCAGGAGACGGAAATGTAAATCCCTTCAACATGAGAGACAAATTCCACAAATCCCGGTACTTAGGAGCTCAGCTCTACCCGAGTCCACCAGCAAGGACGTGGGCTGGGCCTGTTTTCATATTAACCTGCGGGGGCTGCGAATTTTACCTCCAGGGGAAACCCCCTTTCAGACTCCAGTTCACAAACCTCTCTAAACGTGTGTCTGGGGAGGGGACAGGCGGGGGTGAGGGAGGTGATGTTATGGTCACAGGTTATGCCCACAGTAGCCCAGGAGGTAGGTGTTATTCCCCCGGCTCTGCAGGTGGACAGACCGGAGCCAGAGAACACAGCATGTGTCCCATTGGAATGAGAGAAACGTTGAGGTGAGGGGGACACATCAGTTGGTTGCTTCCTGCATGTGACTCGACCAGGCCGGGATGGAGCCTGCAACTGAGGTACGTGTCCTTGGCCGGAGCTGAACCTGGGACCCTTCAGTTCACAGGCCGGCGCTCTAACCACTGAGACAAACTGGCCAGGGCATGAAACGCTTTTTCACAGTGACAGAGGCTGATGGGGGCCACAGCCACTCTGCTCCTGACTCCAGGACGTGGGAGGCGGCGTTTTTACTCTCACTTGTCTTGACACGCTCAGATAGAAAGTGTGCAGGACAACAGCCAAGTGTTCAAAGCAATTTACAAATATTCTACATCGTCTCGATTGGCTTCTCTGATTTTCTCTTGGACTCATTTGAACCCTGAACATCATTCGGACAGGGACAGACCTGGGGGTTCCCCCCCGTCAGGGGTACAGCTTCCTGAGGTGCCTGAGGTCGTGCCACCCTGGGTCGGCCTACGTTGGTAGATGGCTGGGGTCACTCATTCGTCACTCGGTCAGGCAACAAAGTCGGATTAAACTGTTGGAGCACTCAAGTGTCACAGGAGAATATTTACGACGTCACGTTTACTCAGCTCTGAGGGGGAAGCCTGTGTGCGCACACACCACCCTGTGTCCCACTGGGCCCACGGTGGCTCCCCGCGGCCCCGCTGCTCCGAGCCGTCCTCCCATCCTCCAGGCAGTTCCCGTGACTCTGCCCACACAGGCTCGGTTCACGAACAGCGAGCGACAGCTGGGCGCCTGGGCCCACCGAGGCTCACGGAGTCACTGCCACTGGAGGGAAAGGGACCGGACGCTCCACCCGGCTTAACTTCCGCCTTTCACAGGAGGTGAGCACCAGCCCTCTGTGCGCCCCGATGTTAGCTGCGCTCTGAAGCCCTGCCGTCTGTGGAGGGAGCCATCGTCATGGCAACACAGCTGGTCCCCCTCTCACACCCTTGGCAGGTCTGCAGGTCCAGCGTAGAGACTGTTAAGTGCCCAGTTCTCCCTGCAGATCTGCAAATAACAGCCGACTCCCCACGGCGTGGTCACGGTGTGTCCATCTCCTGAGGGCATCCACCCCGAGGGCGAGGGCGCCGGTGACCAGGGCAACCCAGACGTGCACTCAGAGGCAGCGGGATCTGTGCCCAGGGCCGAGGCAAGGGCCGAGGCAGGGGCCGAGCAGCAGGGTTACGTTCCAGCCGATCCCGATTCTATCGGCGCAAAGCAGGCATTTGGTCAAGAGGTATTCACGTTTTCAAGATTGAGAGAAAAGCCACATCCACCACCTACTTGGGGGTGGATTCAACTCCTTTTCCAACCTCACATCTTAAGATTTGAGCCTCAGAACCTCTCACGAAAGCCTGAAGCTCCTCCTGTTCTCTTGCTTCCCCGCGGGAAGGAGCCTCGCCGCCGAGCTCGCTCCACGCCTCACGCGGGCTCCTCTGCTTTTTACGGCCTCGCTTATCCTTACGCTGTACCACGAGACGTCAGGGGAGCAGTCAGCTCGCACTGAAAACTAAACTTCCTTTGTGTGTGGCTCAGACCGTCCTGCTTGATGTCCTGGCCTCACTCTGGGTGGCGTCAGCGGCCCAGTCTCCCCATCGGCTCCCTCACCCTCTGGCCGTCCACCACTTCACCCCCTCCTGGCGGGACCCATCTCAGCAGGGCGGGCTCGGTGCTGGGGGCGGTCAGCAGTGGACTTCAGGGGGGCAGGGAAAGCAGGGCGTCAGACCTGCTGCACCAGAAGGTTCTGAAGCTCCATTTAGAGGTGGAGGAACTAAAGCCCCACAGGACCAACCCCGCAGGTGGGCCGGGATGGTCCAGGGGACCACCGACAGCTCAGCACCAGGGCCCTGAAGGGGAGATCGGCCCAGGAGGGGTCCCGAGGACCCCCTTCCCCAGCATGAAAACATCTGGCAGCTGAATCGCCAAGTCTGGAGTGATCACCTGCCCTGTTCCCCATCCCGTGACGAGAACACCCGTGAACCCAGACTCTCCTCCCAGAGACACACACTCAACCAACGTTCAGATTGAACAGACGTTCAGTTAATGTTAAAGATAATTTTCTGTCGCCATGACAGTGATGCTGACAAGGCAGAGCTTCAGCGAGGGGCCTGCTCACAGTGGATGGCAATCAGACGACACTGAGGCCGATCCCGCCCGATCCGCAGGGCTGTCCACACACCCGTCCCGGTCTGCATCCTGGCCTGTGCGTGCTGGGTCCTGTGGCTGCTGCCCAGCTCAGGGACTGCCGGACGATGCTCCACGGTGGTGGCTCCACCCTGCACCCCGCCAGCCACATGGAGCTCCCACTTCTCCCACTGCCCCCCTTGTTTCACATTTTACTCTGGCCCCCTGGGGTGTGCTCGATTTCCACCTCCCTGACGGCTGTGACGCTGAGCCCTTCATGGGCTTGTTGGCCACGTGTGTGTCTTCCTTGAAGAAACATCTATTCGGGTCCTTTGTCCAGGCTTTAATTGGGCTGTGTTTTTACCGTGGACTTGCACGAGCATTTATAAATATATAGTCTGGGTACCAGTCCCTTATCACATACATGGTTTGCAAACACGTTCTGCCACTTGGAGGACTGTTTTTTAAACTTTATGGTATTCTCGAAACAGAAAAGTTTTCATTTTGATGGGTCAACATGTCTCTTTTTTTCTCTTGTTGCTTGTGCTCTGGTGTCTGGAACCAAGTTCCGCACTGATTTCTCTCCTGGGAGTTTCTGGACCATTCACATTGAGCGTGTTCAGAGCCAGAGCAGTGCGGGCGCCGGACAGGCCGACGCAGAGGCCTCCAGGGCAGGTGCTGGGAGTCCCCCTTTCAAGGAGGGTGCAGCTCAGGAGCCTCGTCTTTACGCGGGGTGGCGGTTCCAGCCGACTCGCACAGACTCAGGGCTGAGCGTCCCGTCCTGGGTGGGCACCAGGTCCTGGGTGGGCACTGGATCCCGGGTCCTGAGACCACCAGGCAGGCTCCGGCCCCAGCCCGCCCCAGGGCTGCTGGTCCAGCTCCACCCTGCCGCTCCCGCTCTCTGTGCCCTTGGTGCCTCGCACATCACTGGGGTCTCCAGTTTTCTTATGAGCACATCAATAAAAAAAATTCAAATTCCAAAAATTACACTTTATCCCTAATTTTCTACTAAGTTTTTAGAAAACGTGTTATTGAGCTGCCTGTTCCTAAAGTTAGGTCCGTCCTTCAGGATTTCCCAAGGTCTCTGCGTTGTCACCAACATTCAGATTTTGAGGATAAAAGGCTTTTAAAACCCACTGATCACGTGGTCACAGCGGAGCCATGAGGGGGGAGGGGTCTGAGCGCCCCTCTGGGCGGAGCCATGAGAGGGGGGAGGGGTCTGAGCGCCCCTCTGGGCGGAGCCATGAGAGTGGGGAGGGGTCTGAGCCNCGGCTGTGACGCTGAGCCCTTCATGGGCTTGTTGGCCACGTGTGTGTCTTCCTTGAAGAAACATCTATTCGGGTCCTTTGTCCAGGCTTTAATTGGGCTGTGTTTTTACCGTGGACTTGCACGAGCATTTATAAATATATAGTCTGGGTACCAGTCCCTTATCACATACATGGTTTGCAAACACGTTCTGCCACTTGGAGGACTGTTTTTTAAACTTTATGGTATTCTCGAAACAGAAAAGTTTTCATTTTGATGGGTCAACATGTCTCTTTTTTTCTCTTGTTGCTTGTGCTCTGGTGTCTGGAACCAAGTTCCGCACTGATTTCTCTCCTGGGAGTTTCTGGACCATTCACATTGAGCGTGTTCAGAGCCAGAGCAGTGCGGGCGCCGGACAGGCCGACGCAGAGGCCTCCAGGGCAGGTGCTGGGAGTCCCCCTTTCAAGGAGGGTGCAGCTCAGGAGCCTCGTCTTTACGCGGGGTGGCGGTTCCAGCCGACTCGCACAGACTCAGGGCTGAGCGTCCCGTCCTGGGTGGGCACCGANTGAGCGTGTTCAGAGCCAGAGCAGTGCGGGCGCCGGACAGGCCGACGCAGAGGCCTCCAGGGCAGGTGCTGGGAGTCCCCCTTTCAAGGAGGGTGCAGCTCAGGAGCCTCGTCTTTACGCGGGGTGGCGGTTCCAGCCGACTCGCACAGACTCAGGGCTGAGCGTCCCGTCCTGGGTGGGCACCAGGTCCTGGGTGGGCACTGGATCCCGGGTCCTGAGACCACCAGGCAGGCTCCGGCCCCAGCCCGCCCCAGGGCTGCTGGTCCAGCTCCACCCTGCCGCTCCCGCTCTCTGTGCCCTTGGTGCCTCGCACATCACTGGGGTCTCCAGTTTTCTTATGAGCACATCAATAAAAAAAATTCAAATTCCAAAAATTACACTTTATCCCTAATTTTCTACTAAGTTTTTAGAAAACGTGTTATTGAGCTGCCTGTTCCTAAAGTTAGGTCCGTCCTTCAGGATTTCCCAAGGTCTCTGCGTTGTCACCAACATTCAGATTTTGAGGATAAAAGGCTTTTAAAACCCACTGATCACGTGGTCACAGCGGAGCCATGAGTGGGGAGGGGTCTGAGCGCCCCTCTGGGCGGAGCCATGAGAGGGGGGAGGGGTCTGAGCGCCCCTCTGGGCGGAGCCGTGAGAGCGGGGGAGGGGTTTGAGCCCCCCTCTGGGCGGAGCCGTAAGAGTGGGGAGGGGTTTGAGCCCCCCTCTGGGCGGAGTCGTGAGAGTAGGGCCCAGCTCCCCTCCCAGGAGAGACAGGGCGCAGGTCCTGCCGGGGTCAC